GCATGACCCACGTGTGTGGAAACGTGCTCTGGGCCGAAAACTGCCCAAGCATACCGGCACCGCGAGAGAGAGAGACAGAGATTGGCTCGCGCACCATACACGGCAAACCTACAAACACGGTCGAACGAGTCGAACTACATGCGCAAAACAATCGCATCAAAACATGACTACATGCGCCCTGGCAGATGATTCACATGTCATTGCTCAATAGCCTTCCGCCAAGCCCCCTGCAAGCAACGAAAAACTTCAGCAATCATGCGTCCGAAAAGAAAGCCTCGGCTTGTAGCGCCGCTTTTCTCGACGTAGGCGTTGAAGCCTCCAAATGCGGACGCTGTCCGATTAAAAACACAAGCATGCGATAAACACGTACTAGTATCTTCCAAAAGACTCCCAAGAACGACGCATATTCTTTCTTCAGAAATACGAAGCTTCCTCTGCTTCGCATCTCTCTAACAATGAGGCGACAAAGTGGCACTGCTCTACGATGAAGTCTGCCGCGAGGCCCATGGAAGCGGCCCGTACACTTCGCAAGGTTGCGAGATGACAACAACTGCATGCTCCGCCACAGGTCAGCCGCCCACAGGTGTAGCACGCGAGGGCCGACATACTGGTTGGAGTTTGACGCGGGAGTTGGTCGGTGTGGCGTTGCGGCCCCGTTGGCAACGAATAGGTCCTGTTCCACTTGGCGGAAACGCCGATTGCCGCACAAAAACAAAAAATCAAAAAAAGAATGGCAACAGAAACGATTTGACGGTGCCTGTGAGCGACCAAAGTCAGAGACCAGCAAAGAATCAAGAACCAGCCTATTAGCCTCCAAGCACGAGCTCTGCCAACATGACTGATTCGTACCACTACGATGAGCACGGCTCGGAGAAATCATCTTGGGTCAGGCACGAGACGGACCGGGCGAGAGGCTCCGGATCGTGGTGCCAGTGTGCAAACGGCGGTGCCCTGCACCCTCACTGCACTGCTCAGCTTGCATGCTGTTGCTCGAGGGTGAACCCTGGTTCACGCGCTGTTTGGTCGCGTTACAAAAGTAGTGTGCACCAGTTTGAGCCGATCGTCAAAGTTTCGGATGCTGAGTGGCATTTGCATTCCAGCAGCGAATTGTCTCGAAATAAGCGCCAACACACTGGAAGGAAACGACATGCAACTTCGAAGAAAGACGCGTATCCTCACTCACACTGCAGATTCGAGCAGGCATGCCCGTGACATCGAAGGGGGTCACTAGATTTTAACCACCATTGGAACATCACTAGCTCTCGCCCCTCACCAGACCTAACAACAAGTTCGAAGTTATGATGGTGTGGAGACAGAACAGCATAGCGAATGCACAGTGCAATATCGGCCACCCTCGCGATTATGAAGAAGCAGTGATGCAGGAATGCTGCAGATCTCGCAGCAACAGCATCCGCCCACCTACAGGCCACCAAAGACTCAAAATGTTGCCCTGGAGGAGAGGGAAGAAAGGAGGAGGAGGAAGAGAAGGAGCGATGAAGAAGGAAGAAGAGAACCAGGCTGCGGACGAGAAGGGGCAGTTCAAGACCGACTGATGTTCAGCACCCGATCTGAACTCGAGCGGCTCTCAAAGTAAAACTCCTTCCTGCGTCGCTGCGGTACTGCGGCGCTTGCACAGTGCCAGCTGGACAACCGAGCACGCTTTGCAACCAGGACAGACACGAGTCGGGAATACTGCAATCATCATCGACCATTACGTACTCCTGTACTCTCTGCATGTTACACCCTGTTCCCGTGATGTTCCTTCAAATCGCATCTCGCCCCTCCCCAATCTGGCCACCTCAACTACTCCCAGAATAAACATCGAACTGATCGCTGCACCACGCGCGTTTTACGCGCTCACAAATGGGCAGTGTCAGAACAGTGTTGGAGACAAGCTCTTCAGCATCCCGTGAGGCGCATCATATTCCAGAAATGATGGCATGATCAAAAGTATTAGCCCCATCAGTGCGAGTAGGCCTCATTCGACGGACTTCGAACCAAGCGTCCCATGCTCAGAGTCTTTTCGAGATTATTCTGGCTGGGCCCACCCTGTGAGGACACGCTCCTGTGAAACAGTATGAGTTGGTCTCTCTCGCGGAAGATGTCTGGCTACGAAAGACAGGTTTCAACTGAGACAACTCTCGCAACATGTTGGCAAACGACATTCTCCCTGGGCTCCATCAACTGTCCTCAGAAGGACAAACACCATATTTCTCTGTAAGAAACATGGAAACTGTCTCGACGCGCGCGACCCCTCGGACTTGAAATATACCCAGTACCATCCCCGAGATGCATCATCCGAATGTCTGGGCGCCCTGGGACACCGCAAGAAAAATCTGCCCACGTTCCCAGGGCAATGTCGGCATACACTCCCGAAGACACGATCCCTCCTACCGGAAAGCAATACTGCGAATTCCACTAGCCCTCTGGCCTGAGATGGTCTAGGACGGTTCCTCTTCCAACCCGATTCTTCCCTCTACCCCCTCCCCTTGGGCCTGGACGGGAGATGGCCTCCAAGAAGGGTCAAGATAGCTCGGGATGGCTCAATATAGCTTCCAGCAGTTCTCGAAGACGCCCCAACTGGCCACGGCGCCTCTCGAGGACGCCCCCGAGATGCCAGACTCATTCCAAAACCGAAGGACCATCATGCTTCATTTTGTCTTCTCGCCCCTTCGCTTCCGATGAGCCAGCAAGCTAACCAGCGAGCCAATCAACCTGCCAACTAGCCAGCCAGACAACCAGACAACCAGCCGACTCGCCAAAACCTGCAAACCATGAGCCAATCGACCGACCAACCCAACCAACCAGATCAGCCATGCAAAGCATCACACGAGGGGAGGCCGGCGGCAGAGGAGGAAGCCCTCAAGAGATCAAAAACGAGAGGCGGACGTGAGCCGCGGGGGGTCGCAATGAGCAGCACGATTCACGACAAGTACCCGTGTCTGCGCGAACGCGGAGCAGGGAGCGCGTTGAACACTGCAGCCACAATCAAGTGCGCAGCACGTAAATCATGGAAACAAGCGGGTGGACATTGGGCAGTGAGTGAAGTGCCATCCGCCTCTCCATGTCACGGCGAAACGTCACGAGAACGTCCGAGAAGCACATCGCGGGCGTCTGGCTCCGGTGCCCACCCGCGGACGAAGCCAAGGATGAGAGCAGTTCTGGGCGTCGCTTCTGATACGTTGGCCATGACTCCCTTTCGCATTTCTTATAACTTTCACGGTTATCCATCACGCCCTCGGACGATGAAGGAAACGGCAAAGACGCGACGAGGTAGGGGGTCAGCTGTCTGCACGTCCGACTCGCGCCAACAGCGCTGCAAAAGCGTGGGGGCGCCTCGTGGATTCCTCCGCGCCGAGCAGCGGTCAGATCTGTGCAGTACTCAGTGGAAGTTTCAACACAGCACAGGCGTGCGCATGCACGTGCACGTCACGAACGACATGCGAGGTAGCTTATCTGCTGTGGCCTCATCGGGCATTGTCGTGGTTGACCGCTACTCGGAGAAACTGCCCCACCTGGGAATAACACTGACAGGCAGGGTAGACCCTTAAGCGCATGGTTTGAGGCACGCGCTACATGCCCATTGTCAATCGCCACAGTCAATCGCCCACTGTCAATCGTCGTTGTGACCACCAGTGGACGAAGTGATTGCATTAGCTGTATGTACGCAGCAGGGGGTGAGAATGTGAGCAGAGCGGTGAGATGGATTCAGTGAATGGGTTTGAGGGTCGAGGGCGAGTCGAGCGACCGGAGAGAAAGACCTGCTAAGAAAGAGAGCATCCTATCTACACCAACGCCGGAGGAAAGTGTGCCTCATCGCCGTGCTGGCCAGGTCGAAGCATCTGCAGGGCGAGAGCGCAAGCGAATTCTGCAGATCCTCCTCCACCCTCCTCCTCCTCCTCCTCCTCCTCCTCCTCCTCCTCCTCCTCCTCCTCCTCTTCCTCCGATTCCGCCTCCGCCTCCGCCTCCGCCTCCGCCTCCGCCTCCGCCACCTCCTTCTCCTCCTGCTCCTCCTGCTCCTCCTCCTCTTCCTCCTCCTCCTCCTCCTGCTCCTGCTCCTGCTCCTCCTCCTCCTCCTCCTCCTCCTCCCCATCATCATCCTCCTCATCCTCTCCTCATTACTCCTCATTATCACTTTCATCCTCCGCAGCCTCATCCCCATCCACCCCGCGTTGCTCATGCACGTTCGCCCCGTCCTCCTCCTGGTCGCCGAACGCACCCTCCGCGTCATCATCGCGCGCCAGACGTGAAACCTCTGTCAGGTCGCCCTGGCTCCCCTGCTGAGACGCGATGCCCATGCTCACGCGATGCGACAATGCTGCGGCTGAAGGCTGCGGGATGCTGGACGCGCACACCCTACAATTACCAGCGCCACCCGTCAGGAAGACGGGACGATATGCACAATCAGATTGGCTTCTGACCCTACTCATGCTCCTCAACGTGTTCTTATATATATATATGTATCCCTCTCTCCCTCATGTTCCTTCTCTCTCTATCTCGCTCTGTCTCTCTCTCTCTCTCTCCCTCTCTCCCTCTCTCTCTCTCTCTCTCTCTCTCTTTCTCTCTCGCACTTGTTCTCTTTCTCTCTCTCTCTCTCTCTCTCTCTTTCTCTCGCTCTTTCTCGAATGATTAACCAAGTCGTCAATCCAAGCTATCAAGCCTGGACCGCTATGCATGTTGCACGATGCTAAAATTACAAACTGACAAGAGTACATGTAACGATCATTACTGCTAGCATCCCCCTCACAGGAGATCCAGAATCGACGGGCTGGCAGGCTTGCATCACCAAAAAAATGCATCCCTCGTATGCTGTACCTCCTCCTCCTCGTCCTTGCCCTCCTCTCCTCCTCTTCTCCTCGTCATCATCATCATCATCATCATCATCATCATCATCATCATCATCATCATCATCATCATCATCATCATCATCATCATCATCATCATCATCATCATCATCATCATCATCATCATCATCATCATCCATCAGCATCATCATCACA